CCTAACCTAACCTAACCTAACCTAACCTAACCTAACCTAACCTTCCGAGATAAAGCTTAATGTGACCTAACCTTTTGAGAGATAGCTTCATGTGATCTAACATGTTAGGTACCCTAACCTTGTTATATTGTATACAAGTACTCACCATGTGCTGCTATTCCAGAAGGTCAGGTAATCCAATGCACTCACTATCCCATTCTCACTATTCCACAAGGTTAGGTTATTCAAGTAGGTTACTTCAACAAATTGTCACTAACAAAATAACCTGTTTCAATAACATAACTCGTATGGAAATCCTTTTCTACACCACTACCACCAAGTTTGTATATCCAAAAGGTTATTAATAAAGATGGTTCACTACACGATTCCACTGAGTTTCTTTATTCACTGCGTTACCTACACCGATCACTATAAATACGACACAGTTTACATAACCTGTCTTAATATACTAACTCGTATGGAACTCTTAAGAATGGAAGTGATTCAATAACCTGTACAATATACAAACCTTTATGGAATTCCAAGCGTAGTATACCATACGAGTTACTTTATTCAAACAGATTACCCTCTGTACTACCACCCCCCCTATAGTCCCCCCCTCCACACGGGCCGCTTTTTCGCGGCACCCGCGGCATTCCTTCAGCGCCTCGTTGTCCATTAAGTTGGTAGTTCTGCGGGTACTGACGCACAACCATCTTGGTAATCATTACTCAATGACTGATTATTCTTCGCAGAATTACATTCGTTTACACTTTTCGCCTCGCTTTTCTACAGCGACAGCCGTCTCGCTTCGGGTTGCTGCGTCACTCATAACTGTTGCGAATATTCCACTGCATCGGTCAAGCGACTTTTAGGTTGGCAGTTCTGAATTGTTGTCGAGCATCAATTTTTCAGGTTGGCAGTCCTTCTCTACCGCTGGTGCCGTCATGTTGGCAATGCTGCGGGTCCTGGTGCTCTACCATCTACGATGTTGCGTTTACCGTCCGCGGTCTAGGGATTTTGGGATGTGGGTAAGTTAACCCGTGGAGCGCTGAGGCGCTCTGCTCGCGGTGTGTAGAAATGATTCGAAACAGATTTAAGATGGAAAAACGACTAAGTCCAACTATTTATTCAGATAATTGTCAAAGTACTTTTTATAAGAGCGAACTGGAGCGTATGAAATACAAAATTAGTCTGATCGTTCTGCGCTTGGCGGAGGAGATCTTCGGGTGATGCGGATCGATGCCCCTTCCTCGCTGAATCCTGGATCCTCCCTCAGGATCATCCCTTGTCCAATGGTGGAGGAGTCCACCCCC